TTATCCCTATTCTATCAGTTCTCAGCTACACTATGACAGTTACCATTAGCTTCTTACCATGCAATTCTGGCTTCGGGCTTTATAACAGGCGCGCCTAAGCGTAAAAGGTTTGTTCAATGACGCCCTAATAGTTTAGTGCACCCTTCTTTTCAAACAGTATCATTCCGTTTGACCTTAAAAGTTTTCTGGTTTTACCTACAGTAAACTTGTCCTTTTTCGAATCACCATCTTATAATCGACTAATAGGAAGTAAAATCATTTTTGCATCAGCACCATTTATCAAACACTAGTCGCCATACTCTCCAAATCGCTTTTGCTACATTGTATTCATTAAATAATCTATAGCAAATGACTCAATTTTGACATAGAGCCATTTTTGCAGCAATTCGGTAAATCGTCAATAAGTTGGTAGAGCAAATTTGTAAATAACCCGCTGAATGGTTGTCGTATGAGCTCATAGTAAAAGAAAATTGTAGCTGTAAACACTAGTCTTAAGGTTTGTTTTGGGTATAGGAGTCTTCTGATTGACCTTTGATGGGTTTGCTATTACCGTTTTGTAACAGAACTTTTGACGCACTTTTGTAACAGAACTTTTGGCGCACTCTGTACCTAGTAGTAGTAATTTACTATAGCCTCTTAATCAAAAGGGTTGGTCTTTATTAAATAACAGGTATTGGCAGGGCATGGTAGATTATTTGTTGATCTTTAGTTTATTTTTAGGACCTTTAGCCAACAGAAAAACCAATTGTTACCTAAATTGCTGCTTTCTAAAGATCAATATAGTGAAATAGCTATGACTAACATGTAATCTCTAGTATAATATAGTTCCTTCAGCTAACAAAAACCCTGTTAGCATCAGCAAAAACCATATATCAAGGAAAAGCAAGCCTTATCTAAAGATCAAAACATATATTACGTTAGCAATTACTAGCAAAACATATCACGTTCACTACGATTAGCTAACAACATAGGCTGACGATCTGCTTCAGAAGCAAAGTACGGTAATGCCACGCCTTCTTTGGTTAACAAAGTCAGCGACGCTCTTTATCAATGATATAAAAGCGGGACGTTCATCAACGTTCCTTCCAACGTTCTTTTCGAATCGTTTTGGTTTTATTGCAGCGATTTTTGAAAAGATTTTAAAGTTTTATTGCTGGGAATTTTTTAATTTTTTTGATTTATGGCTGGGAATTTTGTTTTGAGTTTGAAGGGGTAAGGAGGGGGTGGATTTAAAAAAATTTTTTTCTTTTAATTTAAATTTTTGTGTATTTTTGAATTTTAAAGATATGAATAGAGCTAGAGCTAGAGCTAAAGCTAGAGCTAGAGCTAGAGCTAGAACTAGAGCTAAGGTTAGGGCTAAGGCAAAGACTAACGTTAAGGACAAAGCTAGGGCTAGAGATAAAGCTTAGGTTAGGATTAGGGCAAAGTAGGGCTTGGGCGCGAGCTGTGACTTTACAAATAAAACGTTTAATTTGATCAGCTTTTTGACTTTAATTTGATTTTTAAAAAGTCTACTTAATGGTAGACAAACAACAGGAAAATTCCATTAAAAATAGGTTTAAAAGACCCTCAATTTACCAGAGAAAGATGATTTTTGACTGTGCTCTTCATACTAGGACTGGTTTTTAAATTTGCGTTATTTAGGTTTAACTCTTTTAGCCCTTTTTAGCTTGAGAGGGTAGACTACCCTTCCTTTTTCTTATTTCTACTATGATTGCTCTAACTTTTCTTTCTGCCATTTTCTTTTGAGATACTTGGTTTATAACGTTATTTTTCGGTTTAAATGGGTATTAAAAATTATTTTTTATTTTTCATCAAAAAAAAATTTTTTTTGAAAAATATTGAACAGGGGGGACCAAGCTCAATTTTTTTTCAATTTTTTATAAAAGCGGGTGAATGTTTTGATTACTACCCTACCTTATCTTCTTCTACACATCCGTTACCTTTTGTCTACCTTGCTTCACCCTAGCTTTAGTTTTTCCCTTTCTTACACTACTTTACCCTAGCCTTAGTTTTTTCTCTTCTAAGCCTGCCTTAGCTGTACAGTAACCGTAGTAAATCTTTGTTAGGTTCCTTACCCTAACACTTCTTCAGCCCTTAAAATCCTTTTGAAAATCCGGTTGATCTGCATCCCAAACCGTCTTAAACCGATTCTTTCTGAACGTTTAAAACTTTCTTCACTATAAATAGAGTTATTCAGTCAGCCGTTCCGTTCGATGTTATTTATCATCGGCGTGGTTGGTTGTGTCTTTGATCAAAGTAAGGAATGTTGTCTTGGGTTGTTAGGTGTAGAGAAAGAGTTGTAAAGGGGTCGTCCTGAATTTTTTAGCGTAAGGTATGGTGGGTTAGGGTAGAGTATATGCTTATAGATCGGTTCACCCATTGTCACGTTAGAGGGATGGTCAATAATTTCTGCGGGCAGTTTATGAAGATTAAAAACTCAGTTTTATTATACATAATACTAAGCCTGAATATTAAAAAAATTTTTTGTTAATGCCACTTTCAACCCTACTTTTTATTTCCTACTATTCTTCTTTTTTACTGTAACAAACCACATTGTAACGTTCCATCTCTAACGCCCACGAAACGTTGTGAAATTGTTTCAATTGTTGTTAATTGGAGGCGTTTTAATCAAATACGTCTGAGGGGTGATTCACCAACTTATTCCGCGTAATTTCACTTACAAACTTTGGTTTTTGTACTGTTTTTTTTTAGGCTAGAACGGTAGAAAAATAAATTTTTTGTCTGGAACGGTGGCAAAATGACTTTTGTTTTAGCTTTTGAGGCTCGTAGGGGCTTAAATTATTGTGTTTTCGATTTTTTAAAAGAGGCGTGGGTGAGAATGTAAAAAAATAAAATTTGAAGTAGGTAATGGTAAGATGGGGTAGAGTAGGGTAGAATAGGGTAAATTATGATAAAGTAACATCAGGTAGAAAAGGTTAAGGTAAGTTAATGTAGAGAAGGTTAAGGTAAGGTACAGTATTAGGTGCTGGCATAAAGAACCCGCCATTTTTTACTGGAAATTGCAGGCAAAGTATGGCGGGTCCTTTATGTCGGAACCTAATATAATAGGTTAAGGTAAAGTAAGGTATGGTAGAAGAGAGGCAGTAAAACCTAGAATAGCAGGGTAGCAAAACATCTAAAAACAGTGCCAATTTCGTAACAAAACTACAAAGCGAAACACTGCAAAATAGGAAATTAGACGGGTTGTAAAATGGGTGGGTTGTTGGAATTTAAGATTAGAGGTTAGTTTTCAAAGGCGCGTTTAAATAGCCCACACTTTTCGAACACAAGCTACATTTTAGACCAGAGGTTTGTTGAAATGGTTGAATTTTTTTTTCTTTTTTACAAGAATTCTATTGGTTAGGGTAGGGTTAGCGTAAGGCTGGATGTAGGGTACGGTACGACCGGGGTTGAGCTAGGGGAGGACTAGGGTAGAGCTGGGGTAAAGGAAGATAAGGTTATGGTATAGGGTTAAGTTAAAGAAAGGTTGAGTAGGCCTAGATGTGGGCTATGGTAGGACTAGGGTTGAGCTGAGATAAAGCTAGAGCAGGGCAGGGTAAAGCGGGATAGAACTATGGTATAGCTAGGGTAAAGTTAGAAAAGAGCAAAGGTAAAGCTAGGGTAAGGTTGGATAGAGCTATGTATAGCAAAGGAAGGACTAAGGTAGGGCTGGCGTCGTGTGGTTTAAGGCTAGAATAAGGCTGGGGTAGTAAAGGCTAGGGACTAACGTAGGGCTGAGGTAGGGTAAAGCTAGGATAAAGCTAGGGTAAAGCTAACTAGGGCTATGATAAGGCTAGAACAAGGCTAAAAAAAAGTTAAGGTAGAGCAAAACTAGGGCTATAAAAAGTTGACATAGGGTAGACACAAAGTTCATTTCTCTTAAGATCAAATAAAAACCAAAATTAGGGTTACAATTCCTAAGAACTACCTTGTCAAGTTGTTGTTTTTTACCTAAAAATCACTTTTTTCAACTTTTAAAGTGCAAGAAGGTTATAACCATTTTAACATTGTGGTAGGTTTTGTAACAGACGGCTGGCAATGGTATTTTTAGAAGCATTTTTACTGCGTTTACTTATTTTCTTTGAATAATAACTTATTTTTAGTGTGTTAAAAATAGGTATCATATACATATCGGAGTCGTCAAAATTTTTTTCTCTTTTTTATTTTTTGACTAAAATACGGGTTTGTCATAGATTTTAGACCAAATTTACTTTTTTTAAATTTTTCAACGGACTGTTTCACAAAATTTATTTTTTTTTGTACCTTCGGACCAAAACATATATTTTTATTAATTTTTTTGCAACGGACCTTTTCACAAAAAATTACTTTTCTTTATGCTTGTGGACTAAAATTTTTATTTTTTTTGTTAAAAATGTATCAGCGGACTGTTTCACAAAAAATAATCTTTCTCTACACTTTTGGACCAAAATTTCGGTTCCTTGAACCATATTTTCTTGACGGACTCTTTCACAAAAATGTTATTTTTTAACCTTACTTATGATTTCAAAAACCGTACTTTTACCGTTAGTCCTATGTTGAGCTGCATGACAATCACTTTTGTTTTTTGTTTTCAAAGTTTTCAACTTATGATCATAGCTGTAACATGTCTTATGTTGTTGACAACAAGTCGAGCATATATAATATGTTTTTAATTCCTCTTTTACGGAGGGGGTTTATTGTTAGTTGATGACAATATTTTTTTATAACAAAAAAGAAGTGGTAAGCTAGGATAGGCTAATGCAGGGTAAAGTAAGGTAGGGTATGGCAAGCATTCTGATACAATTTTTCTTGGAACGGTCATAAAACGACTTTGCCTTGCCTTGCCTTGCCTTGCCTTGCATTACCTTGCCTTGCCTTTCCTGAATATAACTTTGTTATACGTGACAATTACGGGTTCATACTGTCACTAAAAATGCCATTACTTATCATAACCTTTCTTCAGAAACTACTAAATCAACCTTACAAGCCTAAGCACCCAACTCTCAACTACCATCACCATGCTCGGAATGATGAATTCTCCCACCGACGCAGTCGACTTCTACGCCACCCCCTCATCGACCAGTCGATTCCAGGACAACGCCGACATTCGCGTCTTCTCCGAGCAAAAGGAACGTCGCCAAATCTCGTACACAAAGGACGGTCGGAAGCTGGTGGACGGCAAGCTGGAGGAACAAAGCGAGATCACCAGCGACCCAGCCAAAGCCTGGAACCGACTGATTCTGAATCGCATCGCCACGAATCAGATCCCCAAAGAGAACATCGAGAAGAAGCAATCAAAAGCGAAAAGGATTCTGAACCGCCTAAGTGGAAAAAAAGACAATTCCGAACCCATGCCCGAGATCACCATCGTGGAGCCGGTCACAGTGACGTCAGCCAACTTCAAAGTTCTTGAAAAATCATAAAATAATCAGTTTTTAATAAATCTTATCAAATTTTACTTCATGATCTTTATTGTACAGTACAAGTTGTAAATAAAACAAAAAAATTTTTTTTAATTTGAAAAATTTGATCTAGTAAGCTAGAGTAGAGTAAATTAGAAAAGTGTAAAATACGTGAACTTTTTCGTACGATCCCTGAAATTTTTGAAAATAATGACAAGTTTTGTAAACTGATTAAAAATTATTTTAAAGAAGGTGAGTGAAGTAAATACAGGGTGCGCCAAAAGTTCTGTTACACGGTTTTTTAATCAAATTTTTGACATCTAAATACAGACAGACGCTAGACAATAAAGACTTAACTTTTATAACTATAAAATAAATAAAAGACAGAGAATAAGCTAAAACAAAAATTTTTAAATAATTTAATTGCAACATAGAGAAAACAACCGGTAAAGTTTTGTTACAGAACTTTTGGCGCTTCCTATAGAGAGTAACTTAAAAAATAGAAAAGTTTCAATAAAAGTAAGTACATTTTGAAATTAAAAAAAAATTTAAAAAGGACGTTGCAAACGTAGAAAAGCAATTTTTTTATAAATATGTACCCTGTTAAATTTAAAAAAAAATAAAATAATACAGGATGTCCCAAGAGAGACGAAAAAAAAAACTAAAAGTTGTATTTTGGTTGAAAAAAATACCAAACTTGGCACTGTCAAAAAATTTATCAAAACTGTCATTTTCAACCAAAAAGTTGCCGAAAACTTAGAAATTTTTAACAAAAAAAGCATTTCCAACTGAAAACATGCCTATTTCCATGAGAAATAACAATTCTTTCAAAAATCATAGCGCCCTTAGTATGCCCTTAGAAATTTTAAGACAGAAAACCGCAAGTGCCAATCTTTGACACTGCCAAGCTTGGTATTTTTAGCATTTTTCTCCACCACAATATAACGTTTTAGTTTTTTTTTCGCTTTTTGGGACACCCTGTATAACGTCTATCGAAATTTCCGAAAACAAAATATAACAATATAAAAAACAATGTTAAGTCCCATCAGTTTCGTCATCTGAACTAGAATCATTCAATTCTTTTTTCCTTCGATTGAGTTCACATCTCGACAGTAATATTTGTTCCGCACGCTCATCCGTCAGCCTATTACGCAGCTTGTCGTTGAATAACATCGTCGCATGACTGAAGAAACGTTCGGAAGGAATCACCTTTTTGGCCACTTGATACAAAATTGGAAATCGATCATTGTTGTCCTTCCAAAACTCTTCAGGAATAACGTTCCTTAGCTTTATTGCCTTCATCTCGTTTACTTCGCCCTACGATCAACAATTATTAAAAATCAATATAACCCGCGGGAATTCCCCGATAGAAAAGAATACTAGAGTGGAACTCCTGTATAACCAACAACTTTTAAAGCCCATTTACCACTACACAGTGTATTTAGAACTCTTTTATAATAAAACCCCTCTATAACGAACAATTTTAAATCTCCACGCGATTCGTTTTACAGAAGTTACACTGCACTTGCCTTGTCTTGCCGGCCATGTTTTTCCGCGCGTTGTCTTTTCCAGACCTTTCCTGTCCTACCGTACGCCGTCTTTTTCTACTTCACCTTATTTTGCCATACCTTATCTTGTTTTATAATATCATGCCTTTTTCTGTTCTATACTTCCTTTTCCCGCCTTGCTTTATAATTTCTTTGTTTTTTTTGCCATAGCCTGGTAATACTTTAATAAAACTTTAATAAAACTACATATTGAATTGATTAATTTTTAGTACAAATAAAAAAAACGTATAAACTAATAAATCAATGTAAATTACTGTCATATAAAATACATAATTATACACATTATATACATAACAACTGTACAAAACAAAGCAAGAGCAAAAGTTCATATTATGTTATTAAAAGAATGTAAAGGTTATCCGAAATGCGACCTCAAAGTTTATTGTAGTATATAACATTAAATAAATTTTCTAAATGCCATATATGCTTTATTATCAAAGCATCCTATATATATCATTCAATATGGTATATATAGTAATAATATGTCTGTTGATTTGGACTACAGAACAATATAATGTTGCTGATAATACTGTTTCTGATTAGTGCTTACTGTAGTACAGTTTATTCTGGACTAAAAGAGGATCATTTAGTAACAAACTTACCTGGATTAAACTTCAAAACCAACTTTAAGTATTATTCTGGTTATGTTCAAATCTCTGATACTCAAAAATTATCGTATTGGTTGATGGAATCACTCAATGATACTGCACTTGATCCGTTGTTGATTTGGTAAGCTTTTATCTGCCTTGCCTTTGCCCTGCCTTTGCCCTGCTTTTGCTCTGCCATTGTCTTGTCTTTGACCTTCCTTTACCCTGCCTTTGCCCTGCCTTTGCCCTGCCTTTGCCCTGCCCTGCCTTTGTCCTACCTTTGCTCTGCCTTTGCCCTGCCTTTGCCAGATTCTTACAATACATTTGCTAACGTCTTGTACATTGAAACACCAGCCAATGTGGACTTTTCTGAAGACAAAAATGGCATTTATCCACTTAACGATACTATTGTAAGTTACAAAACAAAAAAAATTTTTTAGAACAAAATTTTGAGTTGAAACCATACTTTATATTATACTAACGTGGAGTGTAAAAGTAATTTTGTAATACTAATACAATGACATTTTCAGACAGCCGCCAACAATGTAAAGTTTTTGAAAAATTTCCTAGAAGCATACCCAGAATATAAAAATCGTGACCTTTATATATCCGGATTTAGCTATGCTGGCTGTTATGTGCCACACTTTGCTGATGCTGTGCTAAAAGACAAAGATGTCACTTTAAAACTTAAGGTAAGTACGTTTAAAAAATTTAAAAAAAAACTTTGCGCATTGGAACAGCTTGCCTCCCTCACTCTACTCTAGCTGAACATTGCTCTATCTTCATCTTATTCTTGGCTTCATCTTATTCCAAGCCTCATCAACACCCTACTCTTATCTTTGTCTTATAGTGAAGACATCAAGTTTTGACCTTTTACCCCTCCCCCCCCCCCCCCTTCTCCAACTTGGCTATGAGTGAACCGATTGAGACCAAACTTGGTAGAGCGTTTCCGGTTCACTCATTGCCAATTTAGAAGGGAGTGGGGCGGGGGGATCAATACTCAATGCCTTTAATATAATTTGTCTTTTCGCATCTCTTGTTCTACTCTTTACTTTAGCCCTACCCTTGCCTACTCTTGGCCAAACCTTGCCTTACTCATGATCTACCCTTACTCAACTATTGCTCTACCCTTTCTTAACCCTTGCCCTAATCTTTAATCTTTATTTTTTTTCTCACTCATTTCCTATATTTCCCTTACCCTTTCTTTATCTTTCCCCTATTCTTGTCCTGCCTTTATATTTTTGGTTTTACTATTGTCCTTTTGTGGCCCTACCCTTGTCTTCCTTTTGCCATACCCTTGCCCTATCTTAACCTTGCCTTACCCTTTCATCGTACTGTAAAATTTACTTTTACAGGGCATAGCCATGGGAAATGCCGTAACAGAGCTTAACTGGCTATTCACTTTCCAAATCCCACTACAAGCCTACCATGGTCTTGTAGGTATGGAAGAGTTGGCCGAGTGGGAAAACAAATATTGTCCTACAGGCTACGAAAACTTTTGTGGCGAGCAAATTTCACACGCTCCGAAAAAATGGCTTGAACGTGATTTTAACAACTACAATCTGGCTGGCAAATGCTATAGTGGAGAGACTTGTGAAGGTGATAGCATGAGAAGATACTTTAACACACCGGAAGTGCAAGAATCTCTTCATTTCGATGCTAAAGAGTGGATATATTGTAATCAGTAGGTATTACTTTAAACAAAGTTTTTAATTTGACCAAAGTTTTTAAAAAAATAATATAGTTGTTACTAAAACGTTGTTTTAGTGAAGTACACAAGCACTTTGCGTTCTGCGAAGACGCCGAAACACTAGTTCGTAGCTTGTTGGACAACAACGTTAAAGTCTTGTATTTCTACGGTACTGATGGTAAGCTATTGAACTATACCCTACCCTACCCTACCCTACCCTACCCTACCTAACCCTACCCTACCCTACCCTAAGCATGTCTAACCCCCCCCCCTTCCCCTGTCCCTCCTTGTTACATCCCTGCCTACTAAAATATCAAACCTTACATTCCACACCTACCAGACCAGCGCCAACACCTCTCCATGCGCTACCCTACCTCGCCTGTCTGTTGTTTCTTTGCTTTTGCTTACCGCAGCCTAGTCACTCCTCCTTTAAAGCAATATGATCCTCCTTCCATCAACAATAACATATTATCCTCCTTCCACCAACCATAACATAAACACCTTCCAGACAACGTCTGCCCATTCATTGACGGCGACCTGTTTACTCGTAAGATTGGTGGAGTTGGTAAGAAAGACCACTGGTTTGTGGACAATGTCTACTCCGGTACACAAACCGTATACCCGAGAAACTTGATTTATACTACAGTAATTGGTGCTGGTCATCCTGTGGCTACGTCCAAGCCAAAGCAAATGCAAAACATTCTGTCAAAGTTTATCAATGATACCGAGGATTGGAATGCTTGAATGTGCTCCGAAGCCTAATACACAATGTTCAAATAATTCTGGGCCCAACCATTAGGTTGTTCACTTAATTCTGTGCCCCTAACCATTAAGTTGGTCAAATAATTCTGTGCCCCTAACAAGGTTGTTCAAATAGTTCTGGGCTCCTAACAAATTAATTTTCAAAAAAATTCTGCGCCCTCTAATCCTGAAATTTTGCTTAAAAAAGAGGCTCAAAATTTTTTGAACAACATACCATTATCATTATATACCCTGTTAAACTAGTTTAAGCCTTTAAGACAAAGTTTTTTGCCATAAGGTGTTACCTAGTATATAAAAGTATTGTAGACAACACTGACATCGCATATAATTTGTCATTTTTTACACTGATACATATTAATACAGCAAAAAAAAGTTTTAAAAAATGCCATTTTAAATATTATGGAACCTTTTAGTACCCCTAACCCAAATTACTTTGTATTTTACAATTGAACAGTATAGAAAGCGTATTTTACAACTCAGTAATCAATTTATTTCGAACTATCACAATTTAGTTAGTGTAGGTGTCTAATGGTGGGCATGAGCAGACCAGATTCCTATCTCCATATTGATCATCGATTCTGGCTACGGATGGCCATACCTTGTGATGACACCATGGTTTTGGGAAGGCGGCTTCCTCGCGAGTGTACGGTCGTTCCCATTCGGAAGCGGTGACTGTTCGAAGGGTGTGTGGAGCCATCTGAAATTTTAATTTTTTAAATTAAAACAAAAAAAAAACCGTCAGTACTGTATTGTACCTCTTCCTTCCCTACCCTATTATACCCAACCCTACCCTGCCCTACCCTGCCGTGTCCTGCCCTACCCAACCCTGCCCTACCCTACCCTGGCCTAACCCACCCTACCCTACCATACCCACCTTACCCTACCCTACCCTACCCTACCCTACCCTACCCTACCCTACCCTACCCTACCCTACCCTACCCTACCCTACCCTACCCTACCCTACCCTACCCTACTCTACCCTACCCACCTTACCCTACCTTATCCTACTCACTATACTTAAATAGCCTCTACTCTCGCCGTATCCATACCTTGCAGAAGACAAACCGCAAGCCGAAACGACCCAGGAAGCACGTTCAATCCACCCTTTCCTCATTCACCCTTCTCTTTTAGCTACATCGCTGTCTACTACAATATCGATAGGATAGGGTAGAGTTTTGTCAAATGCTACGCTACAATTACCATAACCCTACTTTATCCTTTCCTAGCCTTAACGTACTTCTAACTGAAACATTTACTACCGTGTCGTACCTTTAATCTTTCATTATGCTACCCTTTCATACTCATACCTTACTATGACATGGCCTGTTTTATCTCTCCTACACTATCCTTACCCTAACCAACCCTGACAATGCCTTACACTACTCTATAATCAAACCCCCAAAAATTTTTAAAAAAGCCCTACCTTCAAAGGGTTACAATCCCGTTCCGCCTCTCCTTCCACGATCTTCTCAATCTCTGCTTTGATCTGAATCATGGAGTCGATGAACCTGTCCATCTCTGCCTTATCTTCACTTTCCGTGGGTTCGATCATCAGACAATCGTGTACAGGCCACGCCATGGTTGGGGCGTGGAAGCCGTAATCCATTAGTCTTTTCGCAATGTCCGTCACGTCGACGCCGGCCGCTTTCTTGAAGGGTTTACAGTCGATTATGAACTCGTGAGCATTCAGACCTTGTTCATCTTTGTACACCACCCTGTAGCCGCCTTCTTCCAGCCGTTTGGCCATATAGTTAGCATTCAGAATGGAGACTTGAGACGCTTCTCTTAGGCCTTGAGCTCCCATTAGTCTGATATAGGCCCATGTGATAGTTAAGATGCTTGAAGAGCCCCACGGTGTAGCTGCTACTGCTCCTTTGTTGTTACCGTTGACCGGAATCACTGGGTTTCCTGGAAGGAATGGAGCTAGGTGGGCTGAAAAGTATGATGATTAGTTGGTTTGCCCTACCCTAACATAAGCTACCTTACCCTAACCTACAGTACCCTACACTACCCTACCCTGCCCTACCTTATCCTACCCATTAATCTCAACTATCCTACCTTAACCTTTCCTACCCCAGCAGCACCCATACCCTGCTTTAAAACTTTTTACCTTCATTCCCCCACCCCAAAGAAAAAATCTGTAGCAACGTCCTTGCCATAGCCCTAATTCTTGCCCTACCATGCCGTCAAACAACTCCTCATTCTAAACGTTTTATTAGTAGATCCACCCCCATTCACCCCTCTCTTCCCCCAAGCTAAGTCTCTGCCTACTACAACATCAAACCCTACATTTCACGCCAATCGGACCAGCGCCAGGACCTCCACCACCATGTGGAATACAGAATGTCTTGTGCAGATTCAGATGTGACACATCGCTACCGTAGTCTCCGGGTCTGCACAATCCAACTTGAGCGTTAAAGTTGGCACCATCCAGGTAGACTTGTCCTCCATTCTCGTGGATTTTGTTGCAGACATCAATGATAGATGACTCAAACACGCCATGAGTTGATGGGTATGTCACCATGATGGCAGCTAGTTGATCCTTGTATTTCTCGACTTTGGCCGCCAAATCCTTGTAGTTGATGTTGCCGTGTTTGTCCGACTCGACCACTTGAACTTTAAAGCCGGCTAGTTGGGCTGAGGCCGGATTGGTGCCGTGGGCCGACATTGGGATTAGGCAGATCTAAAATGAGAATCATTTATAAGCCTAGATTCAAAAAATAGTGTTTAAGATAGAGATAAGATGAGGATAAGAGGTAAAGTAAAGATAAAAGCAAGAAGAAGAGTAAAAGTAGAGATAGGAGTACTATTAGAACTAAAAAATTTATTTTTAAATTCATTGTAAAACCGCCTGAAATTTAAGAATCCATATTCAAACTATTTTTAGTTTAAAAATGCATTTTAGTACCATTCTTAAGCTTACAACTGATTTTGGTACGAATTTAAACCTAGAAAAGCATTTTGTTGTCATTTTATTCTACCATTCTTAAACTTCAATATAGTACCATTATTATCTCTACACGTAATTTTCGTATAATTCTTAACATTAAATTTCATTTTGATACCATTTTTATACTTAAAATTCATTTTAGTACCATTCGTATCCCTAAATTTCACTTTAGTACCATAACTTCTTCTTAGTACCACCCTAACCCTTAAACTTCATTTCGGTACCATTCATATCCCTAACCTTCATTTTCGAGCCATTCTTATCCTAAAAATTCATTTTATATTACCCCTAATCTTCATTTTAGTACCATTCTTATCTCTTTAGTATCATTCTAATCAATAAAACGCATTTTAGTACCATTTTATGCCATATGTCACCCCGTATTGTCTTATACTATAACATCGTGTAATATATTATCTTACATTCCTCTGAGCCTGATCGATACTCTCATGGTATCCTCTGATCGCCAACAGTCCTGCATATTCTCCATTGGCGCCACTGTTCGGTTGAAGACTAAAGTTGTCATAGCCAGTTAGTTCACAGAGCCATCGTTCCAGATCGTTAAAGACCTGAGCGTACCCCTTCGTCTGGTCCAATGGTGCAAATGGGTGAATGTTCGAGAACTTTGGCCATGTTATTGGTGCTAGCTCGGCACTAGCATTCAGCTTCATGGTACATGATCCGAGTGGTATCATTGAGTGTACCAATGAGACGTCCTTGTTCTCCAGACGCTTGATGTATCGTACCAGTTGGGCTTCACTGTGATGACTATTGAAGACTGGATGTTGGAGGAAGCTGGAACGACGAGCGTGCTCCGAGTTGCCAATTAAAGGTGATGGTGTTTCGTGGATGTGAGTTTGGATACAGTCCTGAAATAGCAGTTTCTCGTTATATTAGCTTATTTTCCTTACTATTGCTCTATATCGTACCCTACCATACTCTGCCACACCCCACTCTACCCTACCATACGCTACATTACCCTACCCTACCCTACCCTACCCTACCCTACCCTACCCTACCCTACCCAACCCTACCCTACCCTACCCTACCCTACCCTACCCTACCCAACTCTATCCTATCCTACCCTACCTTACCCTACCCTACTGTACCCTACTCTACTTTATCCTATCCTATCCTATCATGCCCTGACCTATACTACCGTATTTTTCCCTACCCTACCCTAACCCCCAGTGTTCTAACCTATTTTACAGTAACCCCCTTACTCTATCGTAATAACCACACCATACCTTTCAGAACTCTAAATCCATCTATCCTACCGTGCTAAAACCTACCGTATGTCCCTAGTCAATCCACCTTACTCTACCATACCCTACCCTACCTTTCTCTACCCTATCTTTAAGTTACTCTTACCCCTATCCAGCAACCCTATTGTTTCTCACATTTTTAATTTCAAAAAAGCACCTACAGTAGTGACAGTGATGTTGAACAGATACAACAGGTCATGTAGATCTTCTGGTACGACAGTTTCATCCAATGACACTCCCACCCATCCTTGTTCGAAGTACCTCACATTGATCTTCTTCTCTTCTGCTCTCACTTTGAAGTCGGTCAGGTTTTTGGGTTTACATTTCAATGTGTCAAAGTAGTTTTCGTGGGCGATTTCCACTCCGTTCTCACGTAGATCTATAACAATGTAAAATGAAAAACTGCAAGTAGCATGCTAGTGCTATTGCAGTACTACCAATAATACTACCCGATCACGTAATATACTATAAACAGTAAAACTTAACTCAGTACAGTATTAGCAGGGGCGGGACTTTTGGTCTGGGGGCGGGGTCGAAAAAATCAAGGGGGGGGGGACCACGTTCAACCTTTTTCAAAAATTTTTAATACAGTGCCAAAAGCAATACTATCCAAATACCTTGACCAATGATTTTCCAGTACTACCATTGATACTATCTTAGTACCGAATTCAATATAAAGAGTACCACTTAACGTAGTATTGTAATTTGTATTACCAATCCAGTACCAAGCCAAGTAATATCTAAATACCAAACGTACTTACGCAGCACCCAAGACAGTATAGTGACAGTATTAAGAAAAGTACTCAAGCCAGTACTATCAGAGTACCAAAATCATTGCTATTCCAGTACAACGACTGATATTATTCTAGTAAGAAACGTACTATAAACAGTACTACTTAACTCAGTATAGTTAGAGTAATAAAATTAGCACTAACCCCAGTACTATCCCATTACCATTAGTTTCTATACTAACCATCCCCCCCCCCTAAAAAGCCTTACGATTAGCCAGATGAGCGGTTGATTTGTGAATAGTCCTAGCAATGGAAGCCAATCGACCCGGCCCATGATAGATTGTGTACATTGCAGCCATGTTGGCTAACAGTGCTTGAGCCGTGCAGATATTGGATGTGGCCTTGTCTCTTCGAATGTGCTGTTCTCTGGTTTGTAGCGCCAAACGATACGCCGGATTACCTTCGGCGTCTCTAAAGTTGTTCGTTTTAGTATCGTACTGTATTTTAAAATTTTAAAATTTTTTTTAAATGACGTTTTTTAATACCGTACTGACGTTTCTCAGCGTCGTGCTCTGATTCTTCAGTACCGTACTAAAATTTTTTAGTATCGTACTGTGAGTTTATAGTATGTTACTGTAAGTCTTCAATTTAAAATGAAAATGTTTTAGTATCGTGCTGTCATTTTCAACACCGTACACAAACTTTTCAGAACCGTACTAAATATAGTGCTAAAATTTTTGCATATCGTACTAAGAAATTTCAGTATTGTACTGTAATTTTATATTATCGAACAATGAGTTTTCAGTATCGTACTGAAAACTTCCTAGTATCGTACTGTAATTTTACATTATCGTACTCTGAGTTCTCAGTATCGTAAACAAAAACTTCAGTATAGTACTGTAGTTTTATAGTGTCGTACTGTAACTTTATACTAACGTGCTAAAATTTTTACAATATCGTATTGAAAATGTTGAGTATCGTACTGTAATTTTATAGTATCGTGCTGAAATTCCTCAGCATCATACTAAACACCCTTACCTACTAATACCAACCAGTCGACCAGGCATGAGTCTGGCCAATGAATTTCTGTTGTCAGTTTTGGCCACAGACATGAATGCTGGATGTGGACCGCCATAGCCTAAGGGAATTCCAAATCGTTGGGCATTGCCGACGGCTATGTCAGCTTTTAGATCACCAGGAGATCTCAGGAGACATAGTGATAAGGGGTCGCATGCCATGGTAACTAAAGCCTGAAAATTGAATTTTTTCGTATTTTAGGTAACAAATTAGATCAAAACAAGGTTTTTTTAGTATTTTAGGTAACAAATTATAAATTTTTTGCTTTGTAAACAAAGTTCGTGCCATTTTTTGTTTTGTAAAGAAAGTTCTTGCCATTTTTTGTTTGTAAAGAAAGTTCTTGCAATTTTAATCAACTTACCCCACTTTCATGTGCCAATTCCACTATTGATTCGATATTTTCATAAATCAAGCCTTCTGTATTCGGATACTGTATGATAATACCAGCTATGTCTCGGGTGATATTGACGTTCTTTACATCCAAAGGTTCTAGTTTGATGTCTAGTGGTCTGAAATTGGGTAGAAATTGAGGAGTATTAACCATACTTTGATATATAGTACTCTACAGTATCCTATTCTACCGTACCTTACAATACCTTACCTTATCTTACTCTACCGTACCCTACCCCACCCCACCCTACCCTACCCCACCCCACCCAACCCTTATCCTTACTTTGCCCTCGTCTGTAGCACAGCAATGTTCTGTGGATGCAGATGTGGATCGTATAGTACAACATTTCTCTTCGTAGCTCTGCACGACAATGTCATTGCTTCGGCACAAGCACTAGATTCGTCCAATAGCGAAGCATTCGCCACGTCTAGACCAGTCAAATCGGATATCATGGTTTGAAAGTTCAACAAAGACTCCAATCGACCTTGTGATATCTCTGGCTGATATGGAGTGTAACTAAAATAATTTCGTAAAAGTCAATGTTAATGACATTTTTTGACAAAAACGTTCTATAGATAAGTTGTAGCATAAAACGTGCCATCATTTTCTATAAAATTGACACTTTTAAACGCGCCATTCTTTTCGCATCAAAGAAAAATATCAAAAAAATTGCCAAAAATCGGATAAAAACTAGAATAATACCAAAATACCCCATGTTAATGCCATTTTTCAACCAAAATTTTAACACACAAACATGCACCATTAAAAATGACACAAAAGCCATAAAAATCCAACATAAAACGCGCCATTCTTTTCGCATCAAAGCGAAATGCCCAAAAAACTACCAAAAATCGCAAAAAATTAGCAAAAAACTTCCATACCTAGTGATCCACCCAGCATTTTGCAACATATTTCTAATAATAACACCAGGCACAATACAATCATGAAAGCCCATTCCAATATACGACCGGTAAACCTCGTTTTTGGCCGCTATCGACCGAAGCACCGTCAACATACGCCATTCGTCCAAAGGTTGAGGTAGCTCTAGATTCCTTTTCAAAGCTATAGCATCTGGTACGTTGGTGCTTGTTAGTTGGTCTAGGTCCTGAAATTTTGATTTTTAGCGTTTTACGAAAAAAATTCAAAATTTAAAAGTAAAAAAAAATTTTTTTTTCAACATTTTTCGAAGATTTTTTAAAAATCTTTAAAATGCTATAATCACGACACATAACATTTAAAACTCACTTTAAATCCAAGAAAGTGAAGTAACTGCTGTTTTTCCAATTCAGAAGGACCTATGTGCCGGTCGGCGAAACAATCATAATTGACCAGTCGACACGCATTCTGCCTTAAATTCCAAACTTTTAGAAGCCCACTACCTTTGACTAGTCCATTCCTAGCCAATACTGCTGATTTTTGCATTTTTGGCTAGCCAAAACTGTGATATTAGGCCTTAATTACTTCAAGATATGACCTTATAGTAGGTTCTTTGATACTTTTAGTCAAAACTTGATGCTTTTAATCAAAAACTTTAGAAATTATAGTAGTTTTAGATCAAGGTATTTTAGAAGCTATAAAAAACAATCTTTTCTATCAAGAAAGATCAAAACCTCCAAAAAAAGATGGTTTAGACAACCAACAACAAGGAAATATAGTTATTTAGCCTTCCCAATTAATGTTTAGTCTTTTTGTCAACGACTTTTGTGGGTAAGATTGATTTCCAGTCAATCGGCCTTCTTTTGCAATGATAACAAAGCAGAAACAAAAAGAGAATCTTATCAATAAAACGAACTTTCACGTTGCGTCTGGTCAGATGGTTCCAGAGTTCTTCCCGGACCGGACCGGACCCAATGCGGGAGTCCGGAATTTGAATTTTGTTTTCCCGCGCTTTTTTTCTACCGGTCGAATCGGTCTAAAAATTTTTCTACCCCCTATTTGAAATGGTGCTGACCCTTCTAGATGCTGTTAGTTTTTTGATATCTATCATAGTTTTCAAGATATGCGTTTGGCGGGAAAAATAAATTCAAAAATCCGGACCGTCCGGACCGGACCGGACCCGAAAGGCAAAACACTGGATGGTTCCGTCGTAAACTCGCAACTTTTGTGTTTGTAGCCCGGAAAACAGGGTTTTTGGTCGATTGTGGATCGAAAATACTTTTGAAAAAGATGAAACAAGTTAAGAAGAGCAAGATATTTAAAACTGAAGCTTTATTTTTAAAGTTCTTGTCGTCTATCATCAGTTTTTGGCCCTTCAAACCTCTATTTCTCAAAAAAAGTAGCGTTGATCAAGCATTCAGCCCTTTTTTCGCCCAAAACTCGCCATTTTCAAACCCATACCAATCATAAAATCCTTCAAAAATATCGTCAAAACCTTAAGAAACAAAAAGACAATCAAAAAGCCTTACCTTAACACCACAATCGACCGTTTCATCCTTCCAAATCCTAGTGTTTTGGCAGCGAACCAACCGATTTATTACGGTTATAATACGTTTAATACATTTTAATCGGCCCGTTGTCCAATCGGCCGGGTTTCAAATCGGCCGCGGCCGGGTTGTCGGGGCGCGAACTAAATTTTAAAATTTTTCATTTTTTTAGACGGGCAGAAATTTTTAAAAAATTTAAAAAGAAGGTTTTATCAAAGTCGTTTGTGGTATTGCACACGTCGAGCCAAAGTCCGCATTGAATTTGTGGCGATTCGTCTTTTTCCCTTTATAAGGCGATCAGAGAACTGTCTGACCGCTATCTTTTTGGCTGCGTGGGAGCTCTCTCCGTTTTCGGCTCTCTCGTTCGCTTTTTTGTCTGCGCTCTTTCCTTTTTACGCGAATCGAGATCGAACGGATCGGCACAAAAGCAACAAAATTATTCGCTATATTTTGGCTCGACGTGCTAAAGCTCAAAAGAGTATCCCCAGTTTTTGACCGGTGAAAAACTATAGAATTTGAGCGGTTTAGAACTTTCTATAACTAAAAAAGTACCGCTAAACGTAATTATAAGTTTACAAAAACTATGCATTTTTGAAATAGGAAGCATTAAAGTAGGTAATTGCTTTTTTTAGAAAACATTCGATTTGCCATTTGACAAATTGAAATGAAACATTCTCTAGAGTCAAAAAACAGCTCGTTTTTTTATTTACAGCATATAAAGAATTCCGAAAAATGCAAAAAGAAAAATTGCCTTATTTTATCTTGTGACCGACATAAAAAGCTGGTATAAAAAAAACCAAAATTCGGTCTCAAAAAAAGGGGCGGTGTAGATATATAAATATAAAGAACCAACGGATGCCCATTTTCAAACAAATCAGATTGGGCTTATTGTTCTCGAAAGTTGTTTTTGATCTTTGTTTTTATAAATCAATAAAATTAGTTTTTATTAACATACTCTGAACGACCTTTGGCCTTGCTTTCTAAAAAAGCTTTCTGTCGTTTTAATCAAGTATTTCATATCTTGATAGTCGTCTTTACTTTATAATAAGAAGAAAATAACAGCAAAACATAGGAGCAGTGCGATCATTTAATTTTAAACATTTTAACAAAATCTTTAAATTTGCTTTATTTTTGTAAATACAATGTCATGTTTTGCAAAAAATGCATTATAACTTATAAATCTATTAAGAGTATAGCACACTTTAAGAATGAAAATTTTTTATTTTCTAAGACAAAACAAAATTGTTATCATTAGAAATATGTTGCAAAATTCTGGGTGGATCACTAGGTATGGCAGTTTTTTGCTAATTTTTTGCGATTTTTGGTAGTTTTTTGGGCATTTCGCTTTGATGCGAAAAGAATGGCGCGTTTTATGTTGGATTTTTATGGCTTTTGTGTCATTTTTAATGGTGCATGTTTGTGTGTTAAAATTTTGGTTGAAAAATGGCATTAACATGGGGTATTTTGGTATTATTCTAGTTTTTATCCGATTTTTGGCAATTTTTTTGATATTTTTCTTTGATGCGAAAAGAATGGCGCGTTTAAAAGTGTCAATTTTATAGAAAATGATGGCACGTTTTATGCTACAACTTATCTATAGAACGTTTTTGTCAAAAAATGTCATTAACATTGACTTTTACGAAATTATTTTAGTTACACTCCATATCAGCCAGAGATATCACAAGGTCGATTGGAGTCTTTGTTGAACTTTCAAACCATGATATCCGATTTGACTGGTCTAGACGTGGCGAATGCTTCGCTATTGGACGAATCTAGTGCTTGTGCCGAAGCAATGACATTGTCGTGCAGAGCTACGAAGAGAAATGTTGTACTATACGATCCACATCTGCATCCACAGAACATTGCTGTGCTACAGACGAGGGCAAAGTAAGGATAAGGGTCGGGTGGGGTAGGGTAGGGTAGGGTAGGGTAGGGTAGGGTAGAGTAAGATAAGGTAATGTATTGTAGGGTACGGTAGCGTAGGGTACTGTAGAGTACTGTATTGTATATCAAAGTATGGTTAATACTCCTCAATTTCTACCCAATTTCAGACCAATAGACATCAAACTAGAACCTTTGGATGTAGAGAACGTCAATATCACCCGAGACATAGCTGGTATCATCATACAGTATCCGAATACAGAAGGCTTGATTTATGAAAATATCGAATCAATAGTGGAATTGGCACATGAAAGTGGGGTAAGTTGATTAAAATTGCAAAAACTTTCTTTACAAACAAAAAATGGCAAGAACTTTCTTTACAAAACAAAAAATGGCACGAACTTTGTTTACAAAACAAAAAATCTATAATTTGTTACTTAAAATACTAAAAAAAACCTTGTTTTGATCTAATTTGTTACCTAAAATACGAAAAAATTCAATTTTCAGGCCTTAGTTACCATGGCATGCGACCCCTTATCGCTATGTCTCCTGAGATCTCCTGGTGATCTAAAAGCTGACATAGTCGTCGGCAATGCCCAACGATTTGGAATTCCCTTAGGCTATGGCGGTCCACATGTAGCATTCATGTCTGTGGCCAAAACTGACAACAGAAATTTATTGGCCAGACTCATGCCTGGTCGACTGGTTGGTATTAGTAGGTAAGGGTGTTTAGTATGATGCTGACAAGGGAGGTAACTTAAATCGCCCCTCGACTTTGGGACGAGACCTATATATTCTGAAAGCCATGTAATCACTGAGTATGGATCTGAAAACTGTTTTTCCGTATGGGGCTTAGTTTTCGAGAAAATCGACTTTAAATTTTGACCGAATCCCCAAAAGGAAAGCGCGCGAGAGTCTATCGGAAATAACAAAAAGAAACCAAGTGGCGGCGTGGCCCAGAGGGTAAAGTGTTTGGTTTCCAATTCAAACCACGTGGGTTCGATTTTGGAGCCTCTAAATCGTTTTTTAACAAAAATTTTAATATACAAAATTTATGTAATTTTTTTAGTTTTAAAAAATAAACATTATGCAAAATAAGCAAAACTCATGCTTTTTATTCATTGCGCAGAGGTGAGAAACGGCCGAGATTTGGGCCCTCTCGGGCCTGAGCAAGCCCGTTTTTTGAAAAAAATTTCCCCGCGCTTTTTTTCTACCGGTCGAATTGATCTGAAACTTTTCCTACCCCTATGTTTAGAATGGTCCTGACTACTATAAATTATCTTAAAATTTTGATATCTCTTATCGCTTTTGAGATACGGGCTTGGCGGGAAAAAAATATTCAAAAAACGGGCCCGATCGGGCCCGAGGCCCGGCCTCTTTCTCACCTCTACTTACACATACCCCTAATCATCATTCTTTTGCTATCAATCCTACTATTCACCCTACCGTACCTCTTTTACATTTCTTGCCTATATTTATGCCTCCCGTTTACTTAATTCGACGCTACCTCTCCTATTATACGTTTAATTTTTAAAATTTCAGAGTGTTTCAGTAACCAACTGTGTCAAATTCTTTGGCTACTCGTAAGTTTTTTCTTTTTGTTTAGCCCTAGTTCTAGCCTTAGCCCTAGTTTTAGCCCTTGCCTTAGCCCTAGCCTTAACCCTAGCATTAGCCTTAGCTATAGCCTTACCCATGTTAGTTTTACTCTATTTTAAATGCTATTTTATTTATTTTAGACAACCGTGATGAACTTCTTAATTTTGATATTTGTTTTACTGTTCTTAGGAGTCTGTACAACACAATTAAGTCCTATAAAGGACGGTAAGTACTTTAAACTGTTTACTTCAAGTAATGATGGAAACATTTCAATGGCTAAAGACATATTTCTGCACTGAAAACATGTTTTTGTTACCTAAATTCACATAAGGTTAATATTTTTGAAAGAAGTGAATATACTTAAAAAATATAATGTTTTACAAAATATATGCTTTATTAACCTAATTTAAACCCTTTGTTACCTAAAATAGAGAAATAATAAGTTTAATGCCTAAAATAAATTTTGTAAAACCAATATTGGCGCGGCCTTATGAAAACGAAATGTCACATTTTTGTCTTTTATTTTTTCTCTTGCGTTCGGGTGCAGTGCAGGGTGTTCCAAGAAATTTGGTCGCTAGAAATAATTCTTAACTTTGCAACAATGCATCCTAAAAATGCCAAATTTGGCACAGTTGTAGAACAGACTTGTACATTTTTTTGAGTTTCAAGAGTGCAAAAATTTTGAGTTTTAAAAGTGCAAATTACGGTCATTGGAATTTTTAAAAATTAGCATTTTACACCGAAATTACACATATTTTTGGTTGTAAATGAACAGTTTTCGCCGACTCTTGACGTTTTTTATGTTTTTTGAAAAACCGTGTTTTCTGTGTCTGCGAAGACTCGACGGAAGATCGGCGGAGATAACCGAGTATTGGCGAAGGCTATAACTTGGTTCAAATTTGTCGTACCGACATGAAACAAAAACTACTAACTTTCAAATTTAACGGACTCTGTTTTTTTAAAAATATGTGTAATTTCGGTGTAAAATGCTAATTTTTGAAAATTCACAATGACCGTAATTTGCACATTTAAAACTCAAAATTTTCCATGAAAAACGTTCAAGTCTGTTCTACAACTGTGCCAAATTTGGCATTTTTAGGATGCATAGGTGCAAAGTCATGAATTATTTCTCGCGACCAAATTTTTTGGAACCCTGTATTTTTTTTTGAATTTCAATAAATACACGATTTTATGCTAACAGAATTATTGGGTAACACTATAGTATTTCAAAAGTTTTCTTACAGCAGGGTACACTTTTGATAGCAAATTGTAAGGCAATTTAAAAATCGTTTGCTGTAGCGTGTTTTTTATACATATTCGGTGTTTTTTTATTTAAACTGTGCAATTTTTTAAAGGCTTAAAAAATTATCTATAATGAGGGTTTCTATGTTGTAAGCGGAGTGCTATTAGCGAAGGTTCACTATATACTATTAGAAGTTAAAAGTACAGCTAAAAAAAATAAAAAAAAACAATTTACATGTATTAATCAACAAAAAAATGCAATGAACCCACGTTTCGAAAGCTGCCTACAATCAAAAATTCTTGGTGATACCGTAACTATCTTTTCAAAAAACTATCAGCTTATTTTATCACCGCTATCTTAATCTTAGTCTTTTAAGCCGATGCATTAGTAGAAGAATTTTATGAAAAGGCGGAAAAAATCGTTGAAAGTACCGTCGATCTAACCGAAAAGTTAAAATTCATCAAAGAAAGCACAGCGAGTTTCCTCAAACTGGCGTTTCCTGTTGGAGCCCTCGTGGCTGCTTCATTAGATATTGCTAGCCAAGTAAGTTTCTTTTTTATATTTTATAATAACAAAAGAATGTTACAAACGATCTCGGTTTTTTAAATTAGGAACAATACTGTCCGCAGAAAATATTGATTACCCCACTAACGTGGAAATGAGTAAACCGATTTGGACCAAATTTTTTATATGATTTATTAACAACCTTGTAACAACAAACACATAACCCAAACTAGCTGGATTATCATAAACAACTACTTAAATAACATTTACTAAAAATGGGTCAAGAAAGAGAGAAGAAATTACTGACCACCCCCTAAAATACAATTTAGCTGCCGAATGCGCTCCTGAAGCAAGTTATGGACGTTTAAAGTTTGCAGTGGTTTTTTGTTTTAAGCTTGAAATCGATAGAGAGCAAAAAAGAAATCAAGCAGAAGCGGCGATTCGGTGGTTCAGCGGTTGTGTGTTGGGTTTCAGGTTGAAAGGATGAGGGTTCGATCCCTTCTAATTCGTTTTGCTTTAACAGCTTCCAAAATTTTTTTTGTTTTTCATACTATATAGCAGCGAATTAGAATAGTTTTGATCATTTAAATACGAAAATTAAACTATATGACAAAGTATTAACTTTAAAATTTTTAAAGTTTTTCGTAAGTTTTGAAAAAAAGATGAGCAACCAACCTATCATCTGGAATAACAAAACCATCAGAAAAATTAACTTTATTTTTCCTGCCTTCAGAAAATTAAACAGTTTCGGCGTCATTGCGAGGCAGCTGATAATCAGGGAAGAGACGAGTGTCATCAGTCTCGAATATGTCAAACCAATCACCAATGATGCGTCTACTCAATAAATTCAAAAAAATTCAAAAAAATTTTGGAAGTTGTTAAAGCAAAACGAATTGGCAGGGATTGAACCCATATCCTCTCACCTCTAAACCCAACACACAACCACTGAACCACCGAATGAATCATCGGCTCCCACTGTTTTTCTTTCTCGCTTCCAATCGTTTTCAAACGCAAAACCAACCGAATCGCTGCTTACCCTTGATTTCTTTTTTTTGCTCTATCGATTTCAACGTAGCGCGGCATTTGGGGAAATTGACAAATGGGGAAACGACGAATGGGGGAACCGATAAATAGGGAAACGACATAAATGGAAATTTAAAAAAATATAAAAAAATAGTTTTTACCGTACGCCTGACCCTAGTCTTGATCTTTTTGGTCCTACCTGACCCTACCCCTGACCCTTTGAGCCCTATCCAAGTCCACCTTTGTCAAACAGTAATGTGTCGATTGCTTTCCATTTCAAGCTGTTTCGCACTTTGTCAACCTTTTTGTATCCATGTCGCTTCATTTCTTCAGAAAGTCGACAATGGATAACTTCTATACCTTCTTCAGCAAGAGCTCCAATCATTCTATCTTTCCATGAAAATGATCCTAAATGCATTAATACGATATGTACTAATGCACTTTTTGATGCTCCGCCAATGGTTTCAAGGCTTTGAGCTAGCTTCATCGTTTGACAACACTTGTAGCCCGAGTGTTTACCATTTCGGCAGTAAAGCACCATCAATTCTTCGTCCGATAGGTTTTTCTTTGTTGATGATACGATTTTACACCATTCATTGAAGATTTCCATGGCTTTAATGATCTTTTGGTAGCCTTCTGATGTGGAAATTTTTAAAGGTTGATTATAATCAATAATATAAATAATCTGCTTGATAACGCATCAATTGAAGTGCACATCCTCTGATATCGTTTCCGTGGAAGCGGCTGTAGATAATCTTCTCCTCATGGCGATCAACGTCCAGCTGGAATTGCTTCAGAACTACATCAAAGCGTTCTTGGTCATCAACTGAATCACAATTTTTTGAACAGTAAGTTTCCTATCTTGATCTTGCTGTGAAGAATTGGTGGGACAATCATCTCCTTAGGTATGTCAACAATCTTTTCTTTCCTCTTCTTAAGGGACCATTTCGCCCATTCAAATATCATTGGCATTCTGTCGCAAAAATTCGACGTTCATTTTTTTGCAAAAAACCTGAGAAGGTCGGTCCCAAATTAGAAAATTCATTTCGACACCGACCCACTCACGTTTTTTGAGAAAAATGATTTTGATTGAAATTGCCTGATTTTCGACGCTTTTTGCGACAAAATGCCAATGATATTTGAATGGCAAACTGGTCCTTTAAGTTTCTTGTCCTTTGCAATGGCTTCTTTTACTCTTTTGTCGGACCTGGGTGGTCACTTCCCTCCCAAGTCTGAACAATAGTCTGGTTGTAGTGTGACTGAGTTGTAGAGGTTCCGACTAATCCAAACGTAGAGACAACTCGTCCGCGCCCCTTATCCAAATACCATACTAAGTTCTTATCCTCGATATTGGCATGACGCATCCTTTCTTCAAGAAACGAGCGAACGTTCTGCATTCTAAAGCTGGAGTTTTCATAAACATCGTATTTAATCACACTTTCCAATAGTTTGCGAGCCTTGGTAACATTTCGTTTTGATATCAAAGGCGGATGGTTGCTCTCCTTGCTCATTTTGTTTAGAATTCGTGCTCCATCGTCCGATAGTCGCGCTTTCTTTTTGTTGCCATCTGTTTCTCTGTTGATAAGTTCTTCTTCATTTTGCTTTGGACCTAAGAAAGCATTTAAATTAAGTTTCAGATTACTTACGGCACTAACTTCTCCTTTTTCTGTCGATGTTTGATGTGGTATAGGTATTGTCTGAATTTTTGCTTGATGATCTTGATTTACGAGCCAATTCTAACTTCAAATGTCGCTCTTCTTGTTTTTCTCGCCATTGGTTAAGAGCAGTACACGGTTTACCACGATTCATTTCACCATCGTTCAGTTTTTCTTCACTTGCTTCAGCCATCACCATGTACAATGTGGGATTATTTTTTATGGTTGCTCCGGATCGCAAACATTTTCCAACGTTCGGATTGAGAAGTTTAGCCTTTTATAAGTTGGCCAAGTTGATCTTTTTTCGTTTCGAAGCTGGAGGCAGCTGAAATAAATAAAAATTTATATTATCTATGATAATAGACCACAATTTTAGTTTTTTTGGAACTACATTTTTTTTTGGTGCTTTAAATTGACTTGAAGATTGGGGTACACAGCTAAAATTATGTTGCCTACCCAAAACTTAAAATTTTTAAAAAGTAGAAAAATAGAAAGTAAAAACACTTACCTTCGTAATGCTGGTCCTTGTTTAGACCAGTCTTGCTTGGTTTTCCAGCAACGAACAAAAATGTAACACGCACAATAAAAAATTTCAGGTATGGTATGGTATTGTGTGGTAAGGTATGGCATGTTACTTATTATGGTAGGGTATTTTATGGTAGATAGGACAGGTTGTATTAGGGTATGGTATATTAGGTACAATATGGTAGAGTATGATATTGTTTGGTAAGGTACATTTAGTAAGATGGGTATGGTATAATAGGTAGCAACAGATATTATATGGTATTTACAAAGGATGAGTAGGGTACGAAGGCAAGGGTAAGGCTGGGTAGGGATAAAAAAGTCAGGAGTAGGGTCGGGTAGGGCCAAAAAGGTCAGGGGTAAAACCGCGTAAGGCTAAAAAGGTTAGGGGTAGGGTCGAATAGATACCCTAAGGTTTCAGCCGAATTTATAAAAGCCTCCGCCAAATTCCCTAAAGATTTTAGGTGTCGGTCTTTTCGGTCCGGTCCGGTCAGAAGCAAATTGAAATCGGTCCGGTCCGGTCAAACTCAAATTGAAATCGGTCCGGGCCGGTCAGACATTGCAGGACCGGGTCCCGGTCCTGGAAATTAGGACCGGACCTTTTTCAAGTCTATTAGAATTAAAATCTATTCCGATAGCTTAATTTCAATCAAATTTTTGAAACAAAAAAAGTCGGCTTCACTAACAGCGGGGGATAGCGCAAAATATCAAAGAAAGTCGTGAATTCAAAATTTAACAAAACGTCTAAGCTTTTTAAAGGACCAGGGAATATATTCACAGTTCGTAACGCACACGTCCACTTTCCAGAAAAACTACACTTACAAATCACAGGGTGTTTCACGAAATTCCGAGTTTAGAAATAATTTATACCTTTGCAACTATTGTGATTTTTGGCACATTTGCAGTCTAGACCTGTGCGTTTTTTGTGCAAATTTTTGCATATTTAAGTTGCACTTTAAAGTCGTTATGAATTTTCAAAAATCAGCATTTTCACCGAAATTACAGATATCTTTGGTTGGGAATTGGTTCTTTTGAATTTTTACATTTTCTTCAACTTTATTCGAAAAATTCGGGGTTTCAATGATTTTGAAGGTTCGGCGGAGCCCCGGCGGACGGCTTAAAATATCGGCGGAGGCCATAACTTTCTCTAAGCTAGTCATATAGACAAAACAAAAAACTAATATTATTTAAATATTTATTAACAAGGAGAGTGCCCGACCTGCCCGCTCTGATTGACTTCAAACTTTTTATAAAGAAAGATCATGTAAATATAAGATCTTCAGCAAAGTACTAAATCGCGCTTTCCAGGAAATCTCGAGAAAATCGAGATTAAAAAACGACAATTTGGATTATCCGTCAAATTGGCATTGTGTTTCAAGCTTGTAACTTTGTCATTCTTTTGTCTTTAATAATATCTTTGATACATTAGTTGAAAACCTTTAAATGAACCTACATTTTTAAAAACTCAAAAGCGCGAGCTAAAATTTTTTATGGGTACTATTGGTGGTACAAAGAATTCATTTAAAATTTTGAGCTGATTCTGAGCGGGGCAGGTAGGATATTTTCCTTGTAAATTAACTATTAAATATCTAATTTCAACACCATTTCCGTTACTTTTGATGCATTTGCGCAACCTTAGAAAAAAGCCTAAGCCCACTAATATTAAGCCTACTAAGCTTAAGCCTACTAAGCCTACTAAGCCTAAGATTACTAAGCTTAAGCCTAATAAGCCTAAGCCTACTAAGCATAAGCCCACTAATCTTAAGCCAACTAAGTTTAAGCCTACTAAGCCTAAGCCTACTAAGCCTGAGCCTACTAAATCTAAGCTTAAGCTCAAATGTAAGCACCAGCTTGAATCCTATCGTAAGCCTACTAAGCCTAAGCCAATCTGCCTGCAAAATAAATATAAGCGTTAAAATTATAATATTAGTTTTTTGTTTCACGTCTGTACGACTAGTTTAAAGAAAGTTATGGCCTCCGCCGATATTTTAAGCCGTCCGCCGGGGCTCTTCCAAGCCTTCAAAATCATTGAAACCCCGAATTTTTCAAAAAAAATTAAAGAAAATGTAAAAATTCAAAAGAACCAATTCCCACCAAAAATATCTGTAATTTCGGTGAAAATGCTGATTTTTGAAAATTCATAACGACCTTAAAGTGCAACTTAAATATGCGAAAATTTGCACAAAAAACGCACAGGTCTAGACTGCAACTGTGCCAAAAAACACAACTGCAAAATGCGTAGTTGCAAAGTTATAAATTATTTCTAAAAACGGAATTTCGTGAAACACCCTAATAAAAATAGCATATCAAAGAAAAATTCCTAAAAGTCGAAAAATGGCAAAGTTATAAGCTTAAAACGCAATTCCAACTTAGCGGGAAATTTAAAACGTATTTTTTGATCTCGATTTTCTCGAGAATTCTTGGAAAAGGAAAGATTTAGTACTTTGCTGAAGATCTTATATTTACAGAATCTTTCTTTATAAAAAGTTTGAAGTCAATCAGAGCGGAGCAGGTCGGGCACTTTCCTTTTTAATCAAAAAACTATTACCCTAACTTTTGAAAGATTTAAAGGACAACTGAGTATAAATTTTCTGACTTATCATTCCGCAAAAAATCAGGGGTTCCAATCAAGACAGCGAACTCCAAAAATTATTTTTTTTTCGAAATGTTTTTGTTAAAATTGGGCACTGTGACAACCCGGCCGATTTGATTTATTGAAGGTTTAGATCAAATATACCTCAAATTAGATACAAAAGCAGAAAACACACGTATTTTACACTTTTTAAACAACTTTTTTTGGCACATTGCAAAAAAAAACGTTTAAAGATAGTAAAAACATGTGAGTTCTAAAATATTTTCAACAATTAAGGTTAGAATTAGGCTTGTTTCTTGGAATATACTTCAAGAAACAACCAATTTCAAAAAAAATAATTCGAAAAAAAAATAATTTTTGGAGTTCGTGGTATTGATTGGAAACCCTGATTTGTTGCGGAATGATAAATCAAAAATTTATGCTCAATGGCCCTTTAAACAAAACATTATTTTGTTAACTAATGTGGTCATGTAACATTTAGACGGAATCTCCAGAATATAAAGCACTAGCAAAACTGTCGAGACAACTTGATTCTGGTTTCGAACGCTTGGCAGCGCGAATCTCTTATAGTTTTGAAGCCGAGGAATTGGATAGAGAAATGAAAGAATTTGAAGACGTAAGCTTGAATGATTTAAATAAGTTTTTTTGAAGTTGTAAAAATGTCACTTTGTAGGTCTAAAGAATTACAAAATTTTTTTAGCTTGTCACTGTTCAACTTAACATATATCAACGAAAAGTAAAATATATGATAAACCCATCTATCAATAAAAGTGCATCGTATGTGAACTATTTTGTTCAACATTGTAAAAACACTTATGGTGGAGTTGAACATTTGGCTGAAGTAAGTCATTTTTAAAAACTAGATTTACGATTTTATGTTTTTACTCTAGCAAATGGTTGGTACTAACTAATGCGGGTATAAACTTTAAGGTGAAACTATGTACACAAAAATGTTAAAAACCAAAAGATTTACATGTAAAAATCAGTGAAGGGTAGGCGGAAGCTTTAAGGGCCAAAAGGGTTAGGGGTGGACTTGGGTATGGCCAAAAGGGTCAGGGGTAGGGTCAGGTAGGGTCAAACGGGTCAGGAGTAGTGTTGGGTAGGGCCAAAAAGGTCAGGGGTATAGCTAAAAAGGTCAGGGGTAGGGTCAGGTAAGGCCAAAAAGGTCAGGGGTAGGGTCAAGTAGGGCCAAAAAGGTCAGGGGTAGGGTCGGGTAGGGCCAAAAGGGTTAGGGGTGGACTTGGGTAGGGCCAAAAGGGTCAGGGGTAGGGTCAGGTAGGGTCAAACGGGTCAGGAGTAGGGTTGGGTAAGGCCAAAAAGGTCAGGGGTATGGCTAAAAAGGTCAGGGGTAGGGTCAGGTAGGGCCAAAAGTGTCAGGGGTAGGGTCAGGTAGGGTCAAACGGGTCAGGAGTAGGGTTGGGCTAAAAAGGTCAAGGGTAGGGTCAAGTAAGGCCAAAAAGGTCAGGGGTAGATTCAAGTAAGGCCAAAAAGGTCAAGGATAGGGTCAGGTAGGGCCAAAAGGGTTAGGGGTGGACTTGGGTAGGGTCAAAAGGGTCAGGGGTAGGGTCAGGTAGGGTCAAACGGGTCAGGAGTGGGGTTGGGCTAAAAAGGTCAGGGGTGGTCAGGTAGGGCCAAAAAGGTCAGGGGTATGGCTAAAAAGGTCAGGGGTAGGGTCAGGTAACGCCAAAAAGGTCAGGGGTGGGGTCAAGTAGGGCCAAAAAGGTCAGGGGTAGGGTCGGGTAGGGCCAAAAGGGTTAGGAGTGGACTTGGGTAGGGCCAAAAGGGTCAGGGGTAGGGTCAGGTAGGGTCAAACGGGTCAGGAGTAGGGTTGGGTTAAAAAGGTCAGGGGTAGGGTCAGGTAGGGCCAAAAAGGTCAGGGGTATGGCTAAAAAGTCAGGGGTAGGGTCAGGTAAGGCCAAAAAGGTCAGGGGTAGGGTCAAGTAGGGTCAAACGGGTCAGGAGTAGGGTTGGGCTAAAAAGGTCAGGGGTGGTCAGGTAGGGCTAAAAGGGTCAGGGGTACGGTGGGGTAACATTTTTTTGCCATTCCGCAATATATTTTTTATATAATATTTATTGTTCCGGAGATGTCACTATTCCGCCATTCCGGAGGTGTCACTATTCCGGCGTTCCAGAAAGTGTTCCATTCCGGAGGTGACACAACACGATTTTCTGTTTTCCTAATATTGTATTTTATTAATACCAATTTTTAAACGCCTGCACTAATTCACATTTATAAGCCAATGCACGGCTCGCCAAAAATAGAAAATTAGTAAAAAATCGATTGTAGACATTTCGTCAACGCCACTACTGATCCAAAAAATAAAAAATACGAAAATGTTTTAGAATATATTGTAAATTACACGATGTATATGTTGTAATACATGATTTTACTTTCAAATTTTGTTTAAAATATTAAATATGTTTTTCCGCGCCTCTGGGAGCAAAAGCGATGAAAATCCGTCAAGTTTGGACACTAATACAGCCAAGACGCGACAAAAAATAAAATAGCAGCTGCAATAACAAAAAGTCACAAATTATCGGAAAAGACGATCGATGACGAATCTATATTTTGATTGATTTTGCGGTTTGGCGAGCCGTGCAATGCTTTTGCCCAATTTTTACACTTCAAGGTTGTGCTGTTAGAACAGCCAATTGTTTATTTATGAAGTGCAAAAATGTTTTTTGCGAAAATTAAATTTTTTTACAATATTATGCAAAATTTAAACTTTTTTTACGTCTTGGGGGCATAATAGAGAAAAGTCGTCAAGCGCAAGAATAGTTATATTATAATGTTTTAAATATTGTTTTAGCATATCAACAAAGCGGTTACTAAAAACTGTCAACTACACAACGGCGAAGTTTTTATTAAAGCAACGAAACTTTTTGGCCAACTAGAAGAGAAATTCAACATTACAGGATGGAGAAAGCAAGAAAGGCAAAAAAAAAACAGTAAGTTTAATAATTATACTTACAATAAGCAAAAACGGTGATTGTTTTTAGCCCACCCCCAGAAAATTTTCCACAGGTAGTGTGGGGGTTGTACCCAGGGTTGGCAACAGGGCAGGGCATAGGGCTTTTTTTGATCGGTCACAGGGCAGGGCATACGCTTCACACGTGCAGGGCATGCCCTATGCCCTGTAAATGTCCTGCAATGCCCGGTAAAAAAATAATTTTTATTTTTTGTTTTCTAGTAAGAGAGCATAGAGAAAGAAAGAAAGATAATGTTCAAACCCAGTCGAAACGCGACTGTGTATTTAAGTTGGCGACTGTGTATTTAAGTTTGGTATAAAGGTTCGCCCAAGAATCAGACATGGGCGTTGAAAAATTTCAAACTATTTTAAAACCGCTCATGTTTTGACAAAAGGTAGTACTTGGGCACAGAAATGCAAAAATGTTAAAAAAAATTTAAAACTTGGGTTACGGTAGGATTTAAACCTTTTTTGTAACTCTTGTACTAAATGTCAGAATAGAATGGGACTTTTTTTAAATTGTTTGTCACTATAAAACATTCATTTTATCTGTTGACAACTTTTCTTTATTATGCTCGGAAGGCATCGAAAAAAATTAAAATTTGCCAAAAAATCATGAAAATTTTACGAAATTTAAAATTCCTCAAAAAACCTCACATGTGATAAACTTTTGACAATAGGAGATAAAACTACATGCTATTGCGGTTTTAATGACTCTAATTTTGGGTTATCCCAGCGGGGCCTGCGGGAGCTACAAATTTTTAAAGTTGGCACCCTAAGGTCATTTAGCATAGAATTTAGATGTAATTTGGTTCAAAATGGTTAAAAAAGGTGCATGGCACATATTGCAAGTTTTATAAATGTTTACAAACAATTTCCCCCTAGGGAAATTGCAATTTAAAAAAATATTTTTTTTTTAAATTTAAATTTTAAAAAAATTTTTAAAGCTTGAAAATTAAATGAATATGACATGACTTTTGGAAAATGACCCATACACAGACGTCGCTACGGATTTTCTCTGGGGAGGGAAAGGTTGAAAAAAATTTTTTCGTGTACAGGTCCCCCCTGTGGCCCAATTTTTCAAAAAATTTTTTTTCGTTTTTTTTTGCGTACAGGCCTTGTATAGGTCAATTACCAAAAGCCAAGGCATATTATTTAATTTCCGAGCTTCAAAAATTTTTTAAACTTAAAATTTAAAAAAAATTTATTTTTTTTAAATTACGATTTCCCTAAGGCAATATAAAGGAAGTTGTTTGTAAACACTTATAAAACTTGCAATATGTGCCATGCACCTTTTTTAACCATTTTGAATCAAATTACATCCAAATCTTATGCTAAATCAGCTTAGGGTGCCATTTAAAAATTCGTAGCTCCCGCAGGCCCCGCTGGGATGACCCAAAATTAGTGTCATTAAAACCGCAACAGCATTTAGTTATATCTCCTATTGTCAAAAGTTTATCACATATGAGGTTTTTTTTGAGAAATTTAAAAATTTCGTAAAATTTTCATGATTTTTCGGCAAATTTTAATTTTTTTTCGGTGCCTTCCGGGCATAATAAAAAAAAGTTGTCTACAGATAAAATGAATGTATTAGAGTGACAAACAATTTAAAAAAAGTCCAATTCCATTATGACATTTAGTACAAAAGTTACAAAAAAAGTTTAAATCCTACCGTAACCCTACCGTAACCCAAATTTTGAAAATTTTTTTACATTTTTGCCTTTCTATGCCTAAGTACTAGTTTTTGTCAAAAAATGAGCGGTTTTGAAATAGTTTGAAATATTTCATCGCCACTGTCTGAGCGATGTTCGATTCTTAGGCGAACCTTGTTTTAATATGTTGGTTGCTTCCTCTAGTATGGGCCCAAATATTTTTTAAAAATATTTAGGATAGCCCATAAAGAAAATCGTCTATAAAAAAATTCGCCCATAGGTGTGCATTACACAAAAAACAAGAGAATTTTTTAAACAAAACTATTTTTTAAATGCAACTTTTTATGCTCTTCCATCCTATCTATGTCTTGTTCAAAAAGCCGAGGGATATTTGGTGACATTCTCTAGTAAGCCTTAAGTTATATTCAAAACCACCGTGCCCCGTTTTTTAATGTTGCAACTGTATGATGTGTACTTTTAGAACCGACTACTACATTTCTCTGCCAACCTTTGTAGACAACTTGAAAAAAACTAAAAACGTCACTCTACATGTTCCATGGGCACGATCCGCCGCCATCATTAGAAATAAAGTTTTTTGTTGGACGGCTTGTGAATATCCGTCAATCTCACAACCATTCCGTCGAGAACCCAAAGACCTGGCTGCTACAGTCCACTTTAAACACAACAATCTGTACGACAAATTTTTTACAGATGACAATACCTGTCATCATTTCTTTATGTTTTTGTAAATTACCATTGTTTACGTATGATGTTTAAACTAAAATAAAAATAACACATAACTAAACATGTTATTGAGACAGGAATCATTCCAAATAGCATGAGAAATAGAAAAATTGTGTTGAAGTTTAGTGTGAGAAGAGTCCAAATCAAATATATTAGATTGTGTAAAAAGTTTTTGCCTTCCTTAACAATACAACCGTTGACAAACTGTTTTATCAGTTTATTTTAAATCTTTTTGCTCGGGCCTTGGCCCTCGCTCTCCAATAAAGGTAAGGTATGATACAGTATGTTATGGTATAGTAGGATATGGTATTGTATGGTAGGGTATGGCATGTTGTAAGATCGTAGGGTATTGTAGGGTTTGATATGGCAGATAGGATAGTGTATGGTATCTTTGGTAAGATGGGTATGGTATAATAAGTAGCATAGGGCATGGCATGATACCGTATGGTATATTTAATAAGATGGGTATGACAAGGTATAGTATGTAACATACGGCACGGTTTGGTATGTTAAGTAGGAGTGTGGAATAGTAGGTTAGAATACAAAAGTAAGGGGTAAGGTGGGGGTAGGGCTAAAAGGGTCGGGTTGATGTCGGGTAAAGCAAAAAGAGTCAAGGGTAAGGTCAGATAGGGCTAAAGAATTTAGTACTATATTAAAAATTTCGGCGCTCATCCAGAATGCTCAATCCAGAATGCACCCACCGATCTTATCCAGAACATAGCCCCAAAGATTTATTTCCAAGAAGCAAATTAGAGTGCTGATACCAATTTATACAAAACTCCAACTTTTCTTATTACAGAGAGATCGGTTTAGCTATGTGTTGCACTATGTTTCTCACCTCCTAATTGGCCATCATGACGCATGTTTTTTCTTGCCAAACAAGAGGAGCATCTTGTTCATGAAGTCGATGTTATTTCCCTTTCCGTTTCGTTTGCATCTGACTTCTCAATGTTTTTTTTGTTTTTTATTTCTGTAAATCCCCCGGTTTTCTTTTTCGCATTTCCGGAGTCGCCCCTTATGGCATTGCTATGAGTTGGAGACTTTCCTCTTTTAATAAATTCGCTTTTCGATTATTAAAAAGTTTGAAAGGGGCTTTTTTGATATTGTTATTGCTTTTATGAGGAAAAAATCTGCTGATTGTTTTTGTTTGGATTGAAAAGACGGTTCAGGGTAAGGCGGGTTAGGCGAGTTAGAAATAAAGCAAGCAGGGCAAGGTGGGTAAGGCGAGTAAGGATAAGAAGGGTCAGGACAAGGCGGGTAAGGCAGCTTAGCCATGGATAAGGTGTGTCAGGGTAATGTGGCGGGTAATACAGGTTAGGCGGGACAGGACAAGGCGGGTTAAAACAAAGTTCAGGTAGACTTATGTTACGAGAGGCTTAATGAAATTATAAGGGTAGAGTAAGGTAAATTGGGATATGGGTAAGGTAGAAAAAAGGCAAACACGACAGGACAGGGTAGGTTACGTAGATGATGATGTAATAGGGAAGGCTAGGATAGGGTGGGATAGGGCAAGGTCGGGTAGAGTGTGATATAGTAAAGTAGGGTAGTGTAGCTTTAAAAAATTTTTTTTTGTTGTGTTTTGTTATTTCTAAATTTAAATTAAAATAAAATCAATTTTCAGACTAAACACCTATCTAAAGTAAGCCTATCTAAAAGGTTTGGAACAAAAAGTTTTTAGCAGATGAACCCGTTAATTAAGCGAAAGAATTGAAGAATGTTGACGACGAAGCAACTGCATTTTTAAACATGGTGAGTGTTTTTCACATAAATTTTGGAAAATATTGGCCGCGTCAACGACAATCTCGTCTAGTTTTATTTATCATACCCACTTTTAGCCTTACTCTTGCTTTGCTCTATTTCTACGTTAGTCTTTGGAATACCTTACTCTAGTCTTATTCTAGCTCTACCCTAACCGTCTCTAGCCTATCCCCACTTTAGTTTTACTTTACTTCTAGTCGAGTCTTTCCCTGGCTTTATCGTAACTTTAGGCTAGTCATATACCTGCCCTACCCATACGCTACTTTTGCTCTATTGTTGTTTTACTCTAGCCCTAATTTAGCTTTGCTATAGTCTAAATCTACCCTAACTTATACCTTTTCTTTAGACCTATTTTAACCCTAACTTGCTTTACTCTTTGCTTTGCTCTTGGCTGACCTTTGTCATACTTTTACCCAAGTCATGCCCTACCTCTGCCTTACCCTTGTCCTTACTTATCCATTCTGTACTGTGGCCTTACCTCTGCCCTACTTTTGCCTAACCCTTGCTATATCCTACCCTAGCCTTACTCTTTCTTTATCATTGCTTTACTCTTGTTTTACTCTAGCTCAACTCATGCCCTCTCCTTGCACTACTTTTTTCCTACCCTATGCCTCCTGTAGCTCTACTCTTTTCATATCCTGTGGTCAGAGCCGGGCGCTGGGGGGCGGGGGGGGGGTATAAATAGTTTCAGTTCCAGCAGAATCTCTAGCCGTGGCAATGGAAACCCACCCCCCCCACCCAAAAAAAATTTCGAAAAAAAGTTGAACGTGGTCCCCACCTGTGTATTTTTGGAAAAAATTTTTTGCAAAAAATCGGGACAGGTCCCCTTGCCGATTTTTTTCGACCCCCGCCCCCAGACCAAAAGTCCCCGCCCGACACTGCCTGTGGTAACCTAACTTTACTCATGTCTTCCTCTTGTTCTACCCTTGCCCAACTCTCGCCCTACCTTTGCTCTACTCATGTCTTACTTTGCCTTTCTCTCGGTTTACTCTTCTAGGTTTTTTTGTTACTCAGTGCGTGATTTGTTTACTGCCAGAATTAAAATCAAGTCCGGAAAACGGCGAATAGATTCCCCTTTTAAGGTTGAATTCGGGTAATTTAGGAAAGTGAAATATCCCCACCCCGGAATATATTATTTGAGAGATTTGTAACGCGAGAAGAAGGTTTTTGGAAAAAGATGCGCGAATAAGTGTTCCTTTACGTGGTTATTAATTCTGAAAGAGTATACTTTAGGTTTACTTTTTTATTTTTAAGTTTACTATTGTGCGCTATTACTTTTTGGTAATACGGGGTAGGGTAAAATGAGATAGGTGGGGTAGGGTAGGGTAGGGTAGGGTAAGGTAGGGTAAGGTAGGGTAGGGTAAGGTAGGGTAGGGTAGGGTAGGGTAGGGTAGGGTAGGGTAGGGTAGGGTAGGGTAGGGTAGGGTAGGGTAGGGTAGGGTAGGGTAGGGTAGGGTAGGGTAGGGTAGGGTAGGGTGGGGTAGGGTAGGGTCGGGTAAAGTAGGGTAGTGTAAAATAGGGTAGGGATGTGTTCGGAAAGAAAAACAAACTTTGTATTATTAAATTTTTGGACTCTGTAGCCTTTTAGCTCATTTTTTGGTTTATTTATTTAATTTTTAATAAAAACGCTTTGTTCAATCATTAGATATGCTTTATTGTTTTATTTTTAAATTTTGCTTACACACGCTTTATTATTGCAGAATTTTCCAAAGTTTTTAATATTGCATGTTGTTTGGTTTAATGTTTATTAGTTTACCTTGAAGTTAAAATTTTTTCGATCATTATTTGTACTAGTAGAATTTATAGTTAACTAGGATGTTGTTTTATATTGGTCTTATTTTTAGTCATCTTAAAGTTTTTAACGGTTCTTTCGACTTTACATAGCTCTAACATAGGACTAAATCTACAGGTAGGTACCTGTACGCGAAAATACGAAAAAAATTTTTTTCGACCTCCCCCCCCAGAGAAAATCCGTAGCGACGTCCCTGGTTAGCACTACTTTTGCTATACTATGGACCTACCCTAGACTTGCCATAGCTTTAACTGCTATAAGCTTGCTTTACTTTTGCTTTTTTGCTTTGCTCTAGCCTTAAATCAGTCTTACGCTAGTCTTATTGTAGCTTTTCGCTAACTATATCTCTAACTTTTCTTTTAACTTTCTTATATACCAATGTTCTATTCTGGCCTTAACTTCTCTATACTCTAGTTTAACTTGATTATCTTGCTTTACTTTGGCTTTTACCTTATTTTATCCTTACCTTAGTTCATCAACTCTACTCTAACTTTACCCGAGCTCTACTGCAGCTTTTCTCTAGCCTTACCATGGCTTTAACTATGCTTTAATTTCGTTTTATCTTTGTTTCTTTTAATCTACTATAGCCTAACCCTAGTCCTGCTTTTTCGTTAAACTAACTTCATCCCAGCCCTATTCTACCTCTAATGAGCACGCAAATCAAGTCAATATTCAAACGGTGAGGTGTGTTAAAAAGTTCGAAACGTTGCATTGAGAAGCCGACGAGTTTGACGCTACTTTTTATCAAAAAGAGTCAAAAGTGTGTTATTTTTTTCAAAGATTTTTTGTTTTTTGGGAGCCGCTTTTTCGACTTGAGATCAAGTTCGCTTCTCGAGAGCTAATCGCTTTTCGAGCCGCGATTTTTGAAACGCGCGATAACTTTTTCGAGCAAAGCAGACCTTATCCGATAAAGCCTTGTATAATATACGTTTGGTTGTTGTTTTGGGGGTGGTTATTTAAGTTTAAATTAAGACAATTTGGAGTAAATTTAAAGAATTGAGATTTGAGGTTCTTGGCGGAGGGGTAGATTAGGATAGGTAAGGTAGGTTATGTTAGGGTAGGGTGGAATAGGGTAAAATAGGGATGGGGAAGAATTTTTTTAAAGAGGATCAATTTTAAATTCTTTTTTGTTTGTTCAGCTATATATTTTTTAAAATTGCATTGTGTCATTATCTAATTTTTCCGAGATAATTAATCTTTTTTATCTATTTTTTTAAATTTT